AATGTCTCTCTAAGAATGGCGGAGTTGTAGAACTTAACGAAGAACCACAAGAAATTCCACTAAGTACCACAAATAACATACCAGTAGAGACTGGACCATCTGAAACACAACCTCTTCGGAGATCTGAAAGAATTTCTAGGGCACCTGAAAGGTTATACCTATTGTCAAAAGACAATGAAGAGGGACTCCTTTTGGATAATGATCCAATAAGCTATGATGAGGCAATGTTGGACATTGACTCAGATAAATGGCAAGAAGCTATGCAATCCGAAATAGATTCCATGTATTCAAACAAAGTATGGACTTTGGTTGAACCACCACAGGGTATTATACCCATAGGTTGTAAATGGGTTTACAAAAGAAAACGTGGTGGAGATGGAGAAGTAAATACTTTTAAAGCAAGACTGGTTGCTAAAGGTTATACTCAAAAACAAGGTGTTGATTGTGAGGAAATTTTTTCACCAGTAGCAATGCTTAAGTCTATTCGGATATTGCTAGCCATAGCTGCGTATTATGACTACGAGATATGGCAAATGAATGTGAAAACTGCATTTCTTAATGGAAACATTAAGGAAGATATTTATATGAAACAACCGCAGGGTTTCATATCCAGGGGGAGCGAACAAATGGTTTGTAAGCTTCAAAGGTCCATTTATGGACTTAAACAAGCTTCGAGGAGTTGGAACATTCGGTTTGATGAAACAATCAAAACGTTTGACTTTCATCAGAATCCGGATGAACCATGTGTTTATAAGAAGGTTAGTGGGAATGCAGTTGCATTTGTTGTTTTTTATGTTGATGACATCCTACTCATTGGGAATGATGTAGGGATGTTGCAGTCAACAAGGACATGGTTGTCTAAACAGTTCTTCATGAAAGATTTGGGAGAAGCATCCTTTATCCTAGGGATAAAAATCTATAGAGATAGATTTAAAAGGATGATCGGACTATCCTAGTCTACGTACATAAATAAGGTACTAAAGCGGTTTAGTATGGGAGAATCCAAACGTGGATATATTCCAATGAGTCATGGGGTTTCTCTTTCTAAGACGATGTCTCCAAAGACACCTGAAGAAAGAGAACGGATGAATCATATACCTTATGCATCTGCTATTGGTAGCATTATGTATGTAATGTTATGTACAAGACCTGATGTTGCTCATGCACTAAGTGTAACGAGCAGATATCAGTCTAATCCAGGTGAAGAACACTGGAAAGCCGTTAAGAATATTCTTAAGTACTTACGAAGGACTAAGGATATCTTTATGGTATACGACAATGGAGAATTAAAACTAGAAGGCTTTACTGATTCTGGTTTTTAGTCCGATAAAGACGACTTTAAATCTATGTCTGGGTACTTATTTACTCTGAATGGAGCAGCAGTTAGTTGGAAAAGTTCCAAACAAGAAACAATTGCTGACTCTACTACAGAGGCTGAATATATTGCTGCATCTGATGCTGCAAAAAGAAGATGTTTGGATAAGGATCTTCATCCAAGGGTTGGGTATAGTACCATCTGTTGTTGTTCCAATAATGGTTTATTGTGATAACAATGGGGCTATTGCGCAAGCAAAGGAGCCAAGATCTCATCAAAGATCCAAACATATTATGGAACGATACCATTTGATAGAAAAATCTTTGGTAGAGTGACATCGTTATGGAACGAGTCGACTCGGCAGAAAATATAGTAGACCCCTTAACTAAGCCTGTATCACAGAAAGTGTTCAAAGGACATCTTGAGAAGATGGGCCTAAGTGATTGGAACTAGGGCAAGTGGGAGATTGTTAGAGTAGTATACCCAGCGTTCCAATCGGATTGGACGTATTATACTTGTAAATACAATCTATTGGAATTATATTAATTAAAAGGCATTACTTTATCTTAAGAGTAAGCATTTATCATATAATTGCACTTAAGATAAAATCCCTAGATCACTTATGGTTATAAGATATGGTTGCGCATAGAGATGGTAATCATGGAACATATCTTGAAAGCCGTGATCTTAAATAAAGTTTCAATTCGATGGATGTTTTGAGATGGGATATCGAATAATCCATAAAAGAATTGCACACAGTATGTATGCTTGTTGAACAAGAATGTTGCATTCCATCAACATTAGCGTGGGACGCAAGTACATATATGTGGGTGCTTGTTAGAGAACAAGTTCACTGAACATGACCGTATGAAAATACTTAATGAAAGATTTGTCTTGTCGAATAAGTATTTTCATGTTACAATAGTACATGATTGATCCTTAGACTTGAGGCACAATGGTAATTTTGTGCATATTATATTCTACTTTGATTTATCCTTTTGGTTGCTAGCACAATCGTATAAAGGGATATTTTGGGTATTATGTTAATATGTATGGAAGTTTGTTAGTGGCCAACAAAGGATTCGACACTTATGAAGATAAGTGAATTTCCTATGTGTTTCATAGTTAGTAATTCAAAGTCCTTGGCCAAGGCGGGATGAATAGAGATTCATAAACGAATTACTAAACATGAAATAGAATCATAGTTATTAAATCAATTTGGGTTTCGACTAAAATCATACCCAAGATTTAATCGGGAAATTGGATGTCGAAAGGATTTTACATGTATGTAATTGTAATCGAAATAGGTTTACTCGCTATTCACTTAATACTAGATTCATGCTACTTGCTAGGTGTTCCCATGATATGTGGGTTCATGAATTAAGGGGTTAATTCATGAATAAGAGTTAATAAAAATTAACTCAAATTACAAAGAGTTGTAAACCCACTACTAGTATTAATTGTGAACCTAAAAGGTTACACCAATTTTTGAATGAAGGTAAAACTCAAATAGTAATTCTAAAGAGTTAGAATTAATTGACTAATCTAATTTGATTAGATGTCAATTAAAGGAATATATTAAATTAATCAATTGGATTGATTAATTGAATTTTGGATATTAATTTAGTAATTAATGGAATTACTAATTAATAGTTGGAATTTAAAATTGGATTTTAAATTTCAAATCCAAATAATAATATGATTATTAAATAAGGAAATTGGAAGAAATGATTAAAATAATAAAGTCTTGAAAAATGTTTTCAAGAATTATTATTTTATTATTTTATTTTATCTATATTTAAAGATTAAAATAATTAAGGAGACAAAATAATGGTGGTTGATGGTGGTTAAGAACCACTCCACATTATCTATTAAAAGTCAATATTTGGTATGGATTTTTAAAAAAAATATGATTTTATTTAAAAATAATTAATTATCAAATATTGATTATTTTATGCTAAAATGTTTAGTATAAATAGGTGCAAAATGTTTGCACAAAATTTGCTACGTCTTGAGCATAATTTCTTCCTAGAGAGAACATTTAAAGAGTTGAGTGATATATCAAGAAACAGTTCTTGAAAATTTCCTTATAAATATATATATTCTATACTTATTGAAAAACCGAGTAGTTTCTACTAGCGAAGGAACTATTGTCGGAACCGGACTTCAAAAGGTGGATACGATTAGAGGGAAGACGTTTGGATTCCTAAAGCGAGTAACATCAAGGAGTTGACGTTACCAAACCGGGAATTGATTTCCTCAATCATCATCGGTTTTGAAGGAGTTCAAGAACTAAGGTAATTTTCGAAATTACTTACAACAAATCAAAATTTGTATTATTACATGTTTTTAAATGATGACGATCTGTTAATTCGCCATATGTATGTATGAGTTATGTATTTAATTGTTAAATACATGATTTAAAAATTTTTAAATTTCGCTGCGTATAGCTCGTACGGTACAGGCGAACCCAACAGGTGGACCGTTGTTCTCGTAAAAGACGGGTAACGTCCGAGGCCGAGGATAATCAAAGCAAAAATAAGCAAAACGTCGGGTCTTTTAAAGACAAAGAATGGGAGCCGAAAATAACCTTTAAGACATAGTTTCTAAAAATTAATGAGAATAAGGCTGCGGAGTTGAAGCTTCCAGAAGACACCTTTGAGCCTAGTTTTTTACTTTTTTCATACGGTGGAAGAACCGAAGTTGCCGAATCGACATCGTTTCCTGGAGTTGGCGGTGGAGGCCGCCAAGGTCCCTTTGATGTCTTGGGATCCAAAAATCCATGTGGGTCTCACTGTGGTACTGGAGAATCAAAGGTTTGGGTATGCTAAGGCATGCTTAGGTCATGCCTTAGTAAGTTTGTTCGCGGCCAAGGAGAATTTTCAATTGAATTCCTCGGAGCTCGAAGAGAAGAGCAATCAGCTCAGTTTAAAAGATGGTGCTGTTGCATCCTTGTAGGAGGAGAAGTCGATGTTGATGTCGATGCGTCTGGGAAGGACGCAAAGTTGAAGGCATTGGAGGTTGAGATTACGGCACTGAAGGCCGAGAGAGAGAAGATATTATCAGCTCATGACATTATGTCGGTGGAGCTTTCCAAATCCAAGTATGAGCAGAAGACTCTGGAGGAGAAGTTCCACAAAGAGAGGCTTGAGCATCAAGTGACCAGGAAAGATCACTCGGAGAAAGAAGCCGAGTTAATTCGAGCTCGAGAAGCTCATCAAGCCGAGGTGGCAAAACTTCGTGAAGAAATGGTTGTTGTGGCTAAGGTCAGATATGAAGAAGGGTTAGAGGCTGGCAAGATGTCGGAGAAAAAAATGCAACGATGAGTTCGAGATAACGGACAAAGATTTGGAGCTGAATGCCTGCTTGACCCTCCAGTGAGTAATCGACCGTATGGACGGTGGTATTTACACCATTGATGAGTTGCGCATCTTTTTGCTGGAAAAATTAGATTAATATGGACTTGATTCCGAGATCAAGAGTGCGCACATGCCGACAGATGAAGATGAGAAGGAGTTTGCCGAA